CTAGCACTAGTGCTAATGCTAATGCTGGCGGAGCCCTGGGTGAACTCTATGGGATTATCAGTGAGCTTCAGACTCACCCTAACGGCTACTTCATTGTCGCTGGGACCTTCAATAATGCATCATTAAAGACATGTTTACTCAGATTTCACCAGAACACTGACTTTGCCACATGACAGGAAAACAGGAAACCTAGTATATTCAAACATCCACCATGCGCACAAGGCCACACCCCTCCTCCACTTTGGACACTCAGACAACATTTCCATCCTGACTCTAGCCTACAGATCTATGCAGAGCCTGATCAGACCAGCCCCGCAGGAGGTGAGAGCCTGGCCTCAGGGTGCTGAAGCTGCACTACAAAACTGCTTCGACTACACAGATTGGGAATCTTCAGGGAAGCTCATTAGACCTGGAGGAGAACACAGCTTCAGTGACTGGCTATATCAGTAAATGCATTAAGGATGTTACTGTCTCCCAAACTGTCATCATACATGCAGAGCTGTGCACCCTGGGGAGATTCAAAAGCTACCAACAGGTCTGGAGACAGAGAGGCTTACACTACAGCCAGAGCCAAACAGTCCCAGCCTTTAGAGAGCCAGTCAGTGCTCAGTACAGGGAAAATCAACAGACACTTCATGGACTCACAGGACACCTGGCACATGTGGCAGGGAATTCGGTTCATCATTTACTACAAGCCAACACCTCAGACCTGCAGCAGTGAGGCTTCCATGACAGATGTGCTGAGTGACTTTTATGCATGTTATGAGGCACAGAACAGGGAACAGCGTTAAGTTTGGCAGCTACTTTAAATTTAGTCTTAGTTTTCATCTTCAGAAGAAATGCTTATTAGTTTTAGTCACATTTTAATTTTAATTATATCCCTCATCATTTTATTCTAGTTTTAGTCAATGAAAAGCAGTTACATTTTAGGCGCCTTTTAGTCACTATTTTTAGTAAAAATGTTTCCTCTCTTTAAACATATTCAGTTAGGCTAAAACATGCATTAGAAATCAAAATCAAGGTGACAAGTTGTATCAAGTGTTGAAATTCATGAAGCAACTTTTCACTTTACTCTCGATTAAGTTGTTCGGTTTTGTTTTCCTAGATAAACTAGATGCACTTTGAATGTCCTACAGTCCAGTTAATATTTTAGTCCCATCTCATCTCATTAATGAATACAAATATACATTTTGCCACAACTTCATTATAAAAGATCTGTGTTTAGCTCAATGTCTCATTCATTATGTTAGATGATGAACACCCTGGGCATGAACACCCCCCTGTGTAACTGGATTCTGCACTTCCTGTCTGACAGACCTCAGTGTGTCTCCATAGGAAACAGCACCTCCAGGCTCCTCCAACTGAGCACAGATGCCCCCAGGGCTGTGAGCTCAGCCAACTGCTGTTTAATCTGCTCTCCCACCCATTATCTCTACAGGAAACATGTCATCTGCCATGCAAACAGCACCGAGGCAGACCCCTCCCAACCATCCCACAGACTGTTCACCCCTTACCATCTGACAGAAGGTTCTAGAGCATCTGATTCATCACTGCTAAACCCTGAAACAGTTTCTTCCTCCAGCAAGTCAGGCTTCTCACTACTCTGCTGTCAACATCATGATGGCCAAACTGATGTAGAGAAACAGGTCCCAGGACAGCAAGCAGAGGGGCTGATGTATCTTAGGCACCTACCAGCTCCAGCTCGGCATCTTGGAGTCTTTCACCCAAGCCCAGCTGTTTTTTTATTCTAAGAAAAAACATACAGTTATTACAACAATTCTGACAATTACATGAAGTAATTACATGAATTAACTAGGGACATGAGAGGGCTGTCACAATATGAGATTCTCACTACACAATTATCATGGACAAAATAATTAATAACGACAATATTATCACGGTATGTATAGAAAATTTGCACTAAATAATTATACTAATGCTCCCAGACAAATTCATCTGTAAATTTGTTTATTACGTGTTTTGTATCTTTTTTGGCCAAGTACAAGTGTAGTGCAGTAGAGTGTCTATAACCATAACTATAAAAGCATACCAAAAGTGTAATTATACTACATAGAGAGTGAAAAGACAATCAGGGCTTTAGCCCCCTTTTGCACTTACTGTCGATCAGCACATCCTGCAGACTGGGGTGTCTAACATGCCATGTTTTTTACAAAATGTAAAATGACTCCATTAATTTTTCTTTTAACAACATCAGGCTCATTTTATGGACTGTGTGCAATTGATCTCCACCAGCCCCGAATGGGATATTCAGCCAGATTTTCCAATCTTGGCTTCTTTGTGCACGTTTATGGGTTTCATTATGTGCCCCAGTCACGGTGGGGTGACCATATGTGTCCCTGACAACTGCAACTATTATGCTGCAGCCAAGTCTTATGCCAACAGGACAAACAACTAGAGGAATGTATGTTATGTATATTTTCTAATTTTACTTTCTGATCCCACTGATTTAGAGTGATATAAATATGGCTGCAACAAACACAAAATACGCCAAACTTCATATTTCTAGCCAGAGTGAACCAAAGCTAAGTACACCAAAACACTATGCTGCTAGATTGCAGCATATTAAAACATAAAGTAATATTTATCAAATGGGATATTTATATGGGATGTTGCTCCAAAGACTGGAAATTGACAACCAGAGTGAACGCTTAAAATGGCAAGCAAAGAAAATGGAAGGTTTTTTATTTTCAGTCAGAGGAATCATTAACACCAGATCTCGCTAAACAATAATGCAACCTCTGCAGTTTGCTGCAAATTAAACCAATACGGTTTTACCATGAAATGGAAGGATATGTTTGTAGTATGTTTCAGTTATATGACTTTTAATGTGAATGTAAAATACTGCACCACACACATGCAGAAAAATCAACTTTTTGGCCACTAAGAAAGAAAAGAAAAGTTCTTCTGAGCCATTAAACTCATCTAACTGGGAAAGTCTGTCTTTCAGTTTGATGTAACAAACAGGTGTCGACACATTAATAATAGTGCATTATCATTGTATGTCAGTCATCATTCAGAGTCAGTGCGCTCCGCCTCCTCAAATAATGACAGTCACAGTGGGTCTCTGCTCTTTATGAGCTCCGACACCTCAGAGTTTACAGATTAAGCACTGGTGGAAACCAGCATTAAGGAGCAATACGGCCACCTTCTACACTGGAGTGTGAATCAGTATCCAGTATTATCATATGTGTATTATAAATATTTAATTCTTCAAATATCTTCAATACCAGTATATTCCCATACATATATTCCCTGGTTCCGATACATTTAAATATTTAACACATGATGACACTCATTTGTAACATTTTTGCGTGGTGACTCAGTGGGTGACACTGGCACCTCACACTCCCTGGCTTGGGCTCTGTGTAGTTGGCATGGTGACTCAGTGGGTGACACTGGCACCTCACACCTCCCGGCTTGGGCTCTGTGTAATTGGCATGGTGACTCAGTGGGTGACACTGACACCTCACACTCCCTGGCTTGGGCTCTGTGTAGTTGGCATGGTGACTCAGTGGGTGACACTGGCACCTCACACCTCCCGGCTTGGGCTCTGTGTAGTTTACATGCTCTCTCCATGTTTACCCAGATACTCCGGTTTCCTCACAGTCCCAAAACATTATATGTGACTGTGTGTTTGCTCTGTAATGGACCGGCATCCTGCCCAGGGTGTCCCTTGCCTTGTGCCCTGTGCTTCCTGTCACAGGTGCCAGACTCCCCACAAGGGATGGATGGATGAATTTTTTTTCTACGTTGATACCATTTTGTCAAAAAAATGGCTTGTACTACGTAAATGTCTACTTACTTTTCTTTTTTATCGAACCCTGTAATTAAAAAACATACAATTAACTATTTTGGAACTCAAAATGCTCTGTTATAAGTAATGAGTAATGATAATGTGTAAGTATCATAACATCAGCATCATAAAGGAAGACTAGAAAAGCCCAAATGAACTAAAGCAGCATTGTTATGAAATGTTACGTGCTGAGCCACAGCTATAGTGAATAACCATGTGTTTATAAATGTAATTTTCATGTTTCAATTATACTTACAGTACGCACACATCTCTAGAACAAACCAGCCAAAGAGGAAGACAGACCCAGAAATCAGGACAATCAGCCGCAGATCTAATGGCTGTATTCCTGTTTCTGAAATGACATGATCACAAAAAACACAGAGAACTGAGGCTAGTAAATGACAGATATTAAACCACAGGACCACCCAGAGGAAACCCACACATGTACAGGTTGAACACGCAAACTACACACAAAAAGGCTCACTAGGACACCCAGGGATTGAACCCAGGACCTTCTTACTGTGAGGTGACAGTATTAACCACTGCACCACCGTGCCACCCACACAGGAATACATATATGTCCTAAATGGTTTGTACAATTTAGTTAGTTTTAAGTTTACATACTAAAAGTAAAATTGCAGGATAAACATCTCAAATCTATAGTGTATTTACCTGCTTTGAGTTTTAATACTACAGCCAGGGCAACAGAATTCACAAGAGGGAGACCAAAAGTCCCTGAGAAATATACATATTTACGGGGTTTGGCTGAAAGGTAGAGAGAAAAGCATTAGTCATACACCTACATACTGTGCTGTGATGAAGTATTTGCCCTGATTCCATCTATTTTTACTTATCCATAACACTTAAATATGATGGATAACCAAACAAATTTAGTATAATACAAAGAACATTCTAAGTGCACAACATGGCTTTTAAATGATTATTTGATTCACTGAAGGAAGGGGAAAAAATTTAAGATAAAATGTAAAAAAAAAAAAAAACAAATATTCACCAACACCCATATCACCCATGTGACAAAGTAATTTCTCCCTTTTTGCATCGCTGTGAAGAAATTTTCACCCACACTTCTCTTAATTCAGCCACATTGGAGGGTTTTTTAATTGAAACTGCCCATTTAAGGTCATTGTGTTCAAGTGAGGACTTTGACTAGGCCACTCCATCCATCTTCTACCGCTTTTCCGGGTCGGGTAGCAGGGGCAGCAGTCTAAGCAGGGAAACCCAAACTTCCCTCTCCCCTGCCACTTCATCCAGCTCCTCCAGGGGAATCCTGAGGCGTCCCAAGGCCAGCCGAGAGACATAGTCTCTCCAGCATGTCCTGGGTCTTCCCTCGGGC